TGCAGCTACAGCTGCACCGCGCGCTGCGGGCAGCGCAGCCTGGGGTGCTGGGGGCACCGCGTGGGACAGGGCGAGGGACAGCACCTTTCTGCTCCGCACACACACACACCAAGGGGTTAAATAGCCATAGAGGAGCAGTGAAGTTGCACCTTGATGTTGAATTTGGAGGTGTTAACAAGGCTTCTCAACAGCAGCCTTATAACACCACCCCAGAGAAGCCAACACGACTGCAGGGTGGCCACTGAGTATTACAAATCAGACAGCAAGAAGCAGAGGCTTTGAGCAGTTGATGGGAGTGGTGTTTACCATTACACCTGCTCCCCACCCCTTGATGCATCAGAGCACTAGTGAAGCACTGCCCTTCTCCAGGGGCAGGTGACAGTCATCTCTTCCCCGGTGACCATTTGTACAGGCCAGGGGTGCTGGCCTAGGTAACTATGTCTTGCTTTCCAGAGGGGCCTCAGCTGCTGCTCCACTTTTCATACCCAATGGACTTAACCTAGAGCTGCAGGTGGAGGATCCTTTGGCATGAGCCCAAGTTCAGGTGCCAAGGAGGGAGAGTTGCAGCTTGTGCAGTAACACTGCCTCTAGCAGCTTCAGGCACTGTACCACAGCACTAAAAGCTGCCAGAAGCAAAGGAATGACTTTTTTTTTCTCCCTCTCCTCTCTCCTCCCTGTTGCAAATATGTTTGCAACAGTATGAACACCAACTCTTCTCCCTCTCTGGTTACCATTTCACTCCACACAGGCAAAGTTAGCAGGAGTGCTGCACCAGGGCTTGCGCTCGCAGGAGAAGCCACCAGCTCTTGGAGGAGGGTGCTCAGAGGTTGACAGGAAAGTAGTAGCTGTAACTAGTCAGTACCAGAAAGAGGCTTTTGGAAAAACAACATCCTGATTTCCCACAGATAAAATACTAATGCTGGAAGTCAGGAGGAGCCATCTACTACCATCATGCTAATCACACAGCTACATTTTTCTGAAATCTGGGCAGGTAGAGTTCCAAGTAGCACTTTAGAGCAAAGGAGGAAGTTAAGTGTTTATTGATGATGATGGAAAAAATAAACGTGATAAAGTAAACGGGTACTTCTTCATATTTAAACTTTCTAGTCATCTGATGTTCTATCAAGATTTTTTTTTGATTTAGGCATAGTTACAAAAAATATCTGAAGAGAATTTAGGGAAACATGATACTTTAACAAGTGTCACCTATGACAAAGTCTGAACAGCAAACATCAGAAAAAGAAAAAAACAAAACGTATGTACAAATTCATACTTTCGAGTCACTGAGAAATTTCTTTGTTACTGAGTGGCAGATTATTCATGTACAATACATTCCACAAGGCATTATCCAGAGTCAGCATAAAATTAAGCTGAAAGACAGATTGTCTAAAAATAAGGCCAGTTTCATCCCAAATGTATGCATTTGATGACCAGAAGTTTCTGGTACTGGTAGGTAAATTTGAAAAAAAAAAAGAGAGAGAAAAAAAAAAAAAAAAAGCACAAGAGCACCTGATCCACTGATCCAACCCAATTGGGCAACTCAGTCCAAACTGCAAGATTCATTCCTAGTAGAAGTTACTGACAGTAGAAATCTATGAGAAAGGACAACAGTATACACCTTTTTTGCAATCTTGTCTATTTGTCTATTGCTAATTTTTAAATGCTTGTATAAAAACAAATACCCACACCATATTTGCAATATGATCATAAATAAGCAATACTTTAAAAATGCAAGATATGATTACCTCAGGCTATTGAGGTGTTTTGCGCTTTGGGAAAAAAAAAAAAAAAAAAGTGAACAGAACCCAAACATCTTTCTCTCCCTCCCTGCCCCCCCCCATTCCAAACCACAGGAGAAAAAAAAAAAAAAGTATACTCCAATTAATATGAGAACTGGCACCAACATTCATGCTAGTTGCCCTGCTGTGCAACAGAAAGTTCATTTACAATAGTCAGAAATATTTTTATGCACTAGCCCCAAAGAGTTCAGCTTCTGCGACCATCAGTTTGTTCCATTTTGGGAAAAAAAAAAAATCCCATCAGGTGTGACGTGGGCAGCGACCAGAAGGTGCAGGAATGTCCAACACTCTGCGCCTGTCTTCGTACTCGTCAGTGTCTGTCGAATCTTCGTCTTCATCCACGGCGTATTCATTATGATTCGTTTCCTAATACAAGACACATACAGATTTAATTAAGATCTTGTAGCCCATCCACTTACAAGGAGGCATCAACACATTTACTAAAAAGTTCCTATCCATATTATCAGTTATCTGAACAAAAACAGTTCTACACAATTACAAATCTTACTTTGCAACAAGAGATTTTTGTTAAACCTTTATTCTTTTATGTTAAAGATATCTACTCAACCTAATAATAACGTACCTATGGAAAGCCACAATTCAGTTATCTTGGTCATTCTGGCTTGTCTACTGACTTGTGCAGAGTTTTAATATAAATAGAGTCACTGCTAGCTTTAAATCCAGAGGAAGAGCAACCAAATAAAAAAGCCATTGATTTCTACAGCCAACCGAATGGCAGAGTTGACAATTCACATAAACATAAGACAAAGCTAAAGGTGACATTTTCTGTTACAAGCTCGACCTCTGCTGGCACTCACTGTTATAGCTAGTGGTATTGAGAGTTTCTCACATCCCTTGGAAAATACAAAAACAACGCAGATGTCTATACCTGAGGAAAGAGCCAGTACTTGCAAAAACAAACAAACAAACAAAAAAACACTAAGTTTTATCTGAATTAGTTATTAAATAAAAGTTATGCTAAAAATAAACAAATTCAAATGTGTAAAACCACAAAATACTTGGGTTTACCAGCAACTTCCAAACTAAGCTTACGTAACAATTAACAGGATGCTAAAGGTATTTTTGCATTGCCAAGTCTCTAAGTGACTTCATGAAATACACTTTCAAGAGGGACTGGTAGGACATTCAGAATCATAGAATGCTTAAGGTTGGAAGGGTCCTCTAGAGGTCATCTAGTCCAACCCCCCTGCACACGCAGGGTCACCTAGAGCACGTGGCACAGGACTGCGTCCAAGCGGGTTTGGAAGATCTCCAGAGAAGGAGACTCCACAACCTCTCTGGGCAGCCTGTTCCAGGGCTCTGTCACCCTCACTGTTAAGAAATTCTATCCTAAGTTCCTGTGGAACTTCTGGCATTTAAGTTTCTGGCCATTTCCTCTAGTTCTGTCAGTGGCCACCACTGAAAAGAGGCCAGAGCTGTCCAAGAAGGCAGACTATAGTGTGATCCTACCAAGGCAGGATATTTAAGAAAACCATGAAATTCAATGGGCTTAATAAGAAGTTATCAATCTGAATACTGTCAGTACTGTAAAACTTTATGCCAGCAGCGTTTTTTGCTCAGCAACACTCCAGAAGCTGAGAAGAATTCATGTAACTGGAAATTGTCAAAATTCAAGACTGATAGGTTTTTTTTCTTTCCCAAGAAGAAGTGAAGACAGAATGACTTTCTAGAAAAAATGGATCGTTAATATTAAAACAGGCAAATTCCCAAAATGAAAAAGGGTCACAACACTTAAGCTGAACAAACACTGTCCTATCAAAATTAACACAAGAAAAGCTGCATCTTCACTTACTATCCGTGCTGTAGACACCTTGAACGTCGGACACACCATATGAAATCTGGGAATTGTAACATTAAAGAATCTGTCCTTGTAGTAAAGGCAATGGAAAGTGTAATATCCTTCCATATATCCGGAAGTGGTAGAAAATGTAGTACAGCTGGTGTATTCATAGACTCTCCCTGGACTGATTATTGGAAATTCCCCTGTGGGTGAAACACAAAGTTGAAACAGAAAAGACTGAAGTAGAACTACCATTTAGCATTTTGTTAGAACACTTGCAATCTACACAGTTCAGGCAGATCATTTTATAATCCAGTCAACACACAAACTGATTCTCAGTAACCAGAGGAACAAAATAAAACAAACAAACAAAGTAAGGTCAACTACCAGGATGCTGGACATCCTTCTTCTACCTCGTAATCACATATATTAAACACAGAAACACTCTCCTTGAGATTCATGAAAACAATCTTGAACTTGTACCTACCAACTACTCCAGGACCCTGAACTTCTTCTACGTCACCTTTGGCATTTGTTATTCTCCAGTATCGACTGTCCAGCTGACAAGCCTTCTCAGGAAGGGCATCTTTGGACATTTCAATTCTAGAAGCCAAACAGCATACTTATATATGGCCATAGTTCAATAACCATTAAGAAACTTCTCACTATACTTAGGATACCTCTCTGAAAGCAGCCTTGAAAAAAAATATCTTAGACAAGGCATACCAAATTAGTTAGCAGGATCCTCCTCCATGACTCTGCTTCCTTACTGTTTTACCTTCTTAAGTCTAAATTACTTGTAACTTCTTTCCCTCACCCCATTACTGTACTCTACAAATTACCAACTTAAGCAGTACCTTACACCTCTGACTAGATATGATTTAATATTTTTTTGAAATAGAAGTACTGCATGCTATGTGCATTCCAGCATATGGCATCTAGACCTCTTCATTTTAGCACACATATGAATGATGCTTGTAAATTTGCTAACTGGTGACTTAAGCATTACATAGGTCTTTCTCATTTTATGAGAGTTAATTCAGTTGTTACTCTTACCTGATTCTGTAAGTGAAAAAATAATGAGGTGGATGTACAGAACTGAGTTCAGGTAGAAAAGATGTGGACACAGAAACAGTAATATCTCCTGTAGTAGCAACACATTCTTTATCATGCACATACCTGCAAAAAAGAAAGTGCTAACTCTGCAAACCGCTCAGTACATTCGATACAGAAAACTAAAAATATAAAGTGATTCAATAACAAGAACAGAGTGATATTAGAATTAAAAGAGTAATTTCTGATTTTGCTTCTGGCATCTAAAGTATGTATGTAATATACTTGCAACTGTGACCTGTACCTCCTCATCACATAAACGCAGCTCTGGGTCTCTTGGTAAATTCATTCATGCTTTAATAAAAGTGAGGTGTAGAATTTGATCTGAAGCCAACCTCAACCAAGACACACTCGTTTAACAGCACATGTCTTTTGGCTACTTGGAAAACAAAACTAACAACTCCTACAGCAAATGAATTTAGAGATCTAGAGTTCGGATTCTATAGCATCCAGTAGGACACAATTAGAGCTCCAATTCATCTTCTCTCCCTCCCAAAGCACATAAATTTAACACAAACCCCTCAATAAGTCCTGTTTATTTACTTATTCAGCACAATGTCATTTTAGAAATTAGTTCATTCAAAATATTTTTAACAACTCACAAAGCTATACAGCTGCAGCATACTTGTTGGAACATAAGTAACATATTGGTAGCTAAGTTTCAGGTCAATTTTATTTCAAAATTCCAGCCCCATTAATACACTAACGTCAAGGCTTCTCATAAAATATAAATACATATATGTATATATATACACATACACACACACGCAAGCACATATATATAGGTATGAATGTTTCTTTAGGCCTTGCATTTTATAGCTATATCTCCAATAACTTTTACATGCTTTCCCCTCTCTCCAGCATTTGCTTATACCCATCACTAGCTATTTAGGAAAAGGTCATAATTCTGAAATAAGTATCAGCATCTCACAGCAAAGCTTTAAATCCTAGTCACAATACCTGAAAATCTGGTCTCTGATGATAGGGTAACCACCAGTTACAACTTTGTTTACGTAAGATGTAAACCATTCCAAGTAGGAGGTACCTGGATGCCAAAGAAGAGAAGCATTCATAAGGACAAGCAAGACCACCATTATGCATATTGTGATACGTGAGCTGGTCAATATTTGACATTTAACAAACTAAAGACCATCTGGAGAGAATAACCCAGAACTAGGAGGCAAGAGGGCATACTCTAGACAGGACACATTAAGCAGAAATACCTCTTTCTAACCTCAAGTTAGAAACACCTCTAACTAACCTCAAAGTTAAGTACTTTGCATTATAATCCCAGTCTTCAAATGTTGGTGCCTTTCATCACCTTCTTTCCACATCACAGCCGTGTTGCTGTGATTTGGAAAGAAGGTCAGTACAGTAGTGTATCCTACTTGCATAGTTATTCATAGGTAAGCTGCTCTACCCTTACTCTGACCCTTACTCTGTGCAGTGGGGGCTAACAGGCCTCCTAGGGGGTTTACAAACGTAGTTGTGACAGGCATGTTTCTGTGTGAATAGAGCTTCCGAGCAACTTGCTAGCAAGCTGCAGAAGCCGCTTCCTCCTAAGAGCAGAGCTGAGGCACAGACAGACACGCTCTGCACTCTGACTACAAGCACAGGAGGTGTGCGTCACTCAGAAGGGAGCTGGCATTTTCATACACCTTCAGCCACCGCTGGATTTCTAAGCAGACATCCAAGCTGCCACATTTAACTCTCAAAGAGGAGGTGTCCACACAAGACATACTGGTAAAGCAATTTCCCCAGTCATAGCTCTGCCAAACGGTGTGATCGAGTTCAACAGATGTACACCTACTTCCTACAACAAAAGCAAACAAAACCAAAATCCCCACCCTAATAATCATGCAAGGCTGAATTTTTAATATAAATTTCAGCACCAATTAGAACATGTGCTTTCCACTGAGTGAAAGGAATTTATTTTGATGTTGCCACGGTTACCAGATTCTAATGTACTAACAGAAATAAGTCAAACACTACTCCAGTGAATGTACACATCAGACAGATGATCAGAAGGGATTAACAACCAAACAACTGTGCAGTTTTTACCTTTCCTCCTTTATGCTTTGAGCAAAGCAATCAGTCAAATAAAAAGCCAGAAAGCTTTCTTCTGCAGCTATGATTAGACCTAATTAGATTTCATTAAGGGATACAAAATATGTTGAACTTTTAACATGGCTGCAAAAACTACTGTAAAGTCTTTCTATCTACTTGGATGCTGTATTTCCTAACCAGTTTCACCATTCTCATGATGTCTGATGAAAAGGTTTTGCTCATCTCATGGACAGGTTAGTGTGAACAGGTTAGCTGAATGACTTGCACACAAGACACAAAAGGATAAACCTTCATAGAGAAAAAAATCACAGAATCTTATTCCAAGTAACTGCTGATGTTTTGAAGTAGGTGGTAATTGTACAAGCAGCACAGAGAACTTATAACACTTCCTTAGTTCAACTCATCTGTAGTGTGCAGCTTTGATATCATTTGTCAAGCAGTGACATACATTTTCTAAACAATGCCATTAAAGCATTTTGCAGAGTGTTTCATTCTAAAGTGTTACCTGTAATGAACATATCAATAGCAGATGGATTCCGAGCCATTTGGTCCTAGAAGGGAAAGGAGATGCATTAAAAAGGAGACGATCAGACTTTCAAGGTAAAATTCAACACTCAAAATGTAACATAAGGAATATTTTCACTATATTCTCTAAAACAAAATTTAGGCTTAATACATCATTGTATTCCCAGTCAGATACTCAAATATACAATATAAAACACAAAAGTCTTTACCTTTTTGGCGGACATTTTGCTAAGGCTGAAGCAGCTGAAGCACATAAAATTAGCTTTAATGTGTTATTTAAGAAACAAGGCAAAAAAGTTGCCTTAGAACAGAAAAAGACATCTTGAAAAAACTGTAATACTACACTCTCCCCTGGAACAAGGTGGACAATCCATGAAGTGAAATACAAACATGCAATTAATCTTTCAAGTTAGTGGGATGGCTGAAGTTTTGTTAGGTGTAAAAACATTAAGCTTTGCTAACAGTAAGACTCCTGTTTTAAAACATCCAGCTGAAAGTATTTTGAAAATATTCAAATAACTAAATTCTACAAAAGAGCCGTTCTGACCAATTTGTTCTTTCACTGGAGAGCAGATTTTGCTTAGAACCCAGAGAGTATCGCTACTTTACTGAAGTCACATTTAACATATTTGGGCGGGAAGATATATGCAGATCATTTCCCATACTGGAGAAGCCCTGCTCTGTTTAAGAAACAGGGACAGGAATATACTCCTCCTATAGCTTCAACAGACTATCACCTTCCAATGAGAACAAGTTTTCACTATCATAAACCTATAGAAGGTGGTATAGCCAATAACTGCTTCATGTAACTATTTCATGTATTAACCATTCCAGTCGTGGGTTTGAAGGCAAGTAAAGGACAAGACACTGAAAACAACATGCCCACTTAATATTCACTTTGAACCATACCAAGTATTTCAGCTCTCTGACAGCATGCAAAGGGGTACTGTCAATCATTCAAAAATAAATGTATAAGCATATCTTCCTTACTGGACATTGATAGAAGATCTCGTATTTATTTCGACCCTCCACACTCTCCAAGGCCATGTATTGGCTCAGGCCAGTATGAATGCAGAAGGTAAGAGGAAGGCATTGTTTCAGACCTAGCCTCTGTTGAAAACCTCCAGCAGCTGTGTCAATATCCAGCAAGTCTTCAGAGCGGTAGTGGTTGGACAATGCCATACTTCCCATCAAACTTAACATTAACAGGGAAGAAAGGAAAGAAAAAAAAAAAAAAAAAAGATCAACAGAAGATACAATTCACAGCACCAAAAAACAGCATTAAATCACTCAAGCACCCAAGCATAGCATGGACTACGTAGTGATCTGTTTCATGGCTCATGCAGGAGCAGCTAACCTTCCTGAGTCATACACTCATTCCCCTTGCACAGTGGACAGTCACAACCTTCTTTTTCCAAGTCAAGGAAAGCAGCCTCTTGTGCACACCTCCACACCCACACTCCCTTCTCATTTGCCTTTCATTGATGTTCTCAGATGCAAAATCTTGCAAGGGATGAGCTTTTACTAGCGTTAGGAAAGCAGTGAGTCAGACACAGGCTGCCACAGGACGGCATAGCTTGCTCCCTTCTAGGGCAACAGGTTCCATTCCCCCCTTTTTCCTTACGCAGTCTTGTCTGGAAATAGCTTATTCTACAGTCTACAGAGCAATGCATCTAACAACCATCCTGAAGTGCCGAACAGTGACAATCTGCAAAACACATCCATGTCTATTCCCAAACTGCCTCCACTTGTAGTGCAACACACCCATCCCTGCAGCTCACTGTGTACTTTCCCTGCCCACACCTGATCTTTTCACAGAGCTCAGGATTACAGAGCTAGAAAACAAGTTTGTCACCAAAGGGAACGCAGCTCCCCTGCCAAGCCAAAGGCACTATACGCAACACAGTAGCAGCTCTTGGGGCAGAGGGGAGGGAAAAAGCAAAAAGAACAGAGAATGCACAACTTGCAGAGCTGCATCTTCATCACTTCGAAGCCAAGCTCACAAGCTGTATTTTGCATACATCAACACAGTAAGCTTCACAAGTCATACTGATACTGATAAAAGCTATATGGAAATATCAAAGCATTACTCCTACAGAGATAAGTGATGATTCACCCTAACTTTCCAACTTTTTGATAATGTTTGTGGCATCTCATCAGATGTCAGCTTGGTAACAAAGGGCTTCAACATGAACTCTTTCTATAGTTAGAGGATATGAAACCATGTTTAGTCATTTGCTTTCTATTCTTAATGCAAAAGGAGTTTTTATATCACTGATACAGAAGCAAATTCTAAAAATTTCTATTTACAAAACCTGGATTTGCAGAAATGACATTTCAACTCAATTTAAATTGTCTATCTAGTTTGAAAGCTAGCTTAGTTTCTTAACCTTTCTAAAGAAAAATAAAAAAATATTCAATCTTGAAATTCATAAGGCCCGAGATACGAATTTACTTATGTAATTCAACGCAAGACTTCAGGGCAGACATTTAATTGTACTGGTGCAAATTGCTAACAGGTTATTTTTGAGTTTTTTTCATTGACTAAAAGGAAACAGAAGTGAAGTGCATGAGCAATTAGAAATCTACACTGGATTTTTGTTACCTCTGAGAGTAGAGTAAAAGCAATTCTGAAAGTGTCACCTCACATGGTCACTCATTTAGCTACAATAAAATATTAAATGTATCTGTCCTATTCAGCAGACTTTTTTTTTTAAAATAAGTCATCTAAAAAGTCCCAAATTAATAAAAACTTGATGCACAATTTTAGCTCCTTACCCAGGAACAACTAGCTTCTGTCCATTATGAATACGAAATGAACATCGATAATCATCAGGAAGTTTGCAACCTATTTGTGCTTCCACAGCATCTAGATCCTCCTCCTGCACACTCTCTGTGCACAAAGAGAAACACAAGAGCATTAGGTGGCAGTTTTAGAGAGGAAATCAAGAACTGCTGCTCCTAAGAAACTCTTAAAATTTCATGCTGCTTCATAACTCTACCTCTAAGTGCCCGGTATATTGTTCCTGACAAAGGAGAAAATTAGAATTAAGATCTTTCCTTTAAAACTGTATTTCACATAATTTCATCAGAGCTGCATTGTTAAAAATAAGGCAGACACAGGACATACTCTTGTCTTACTATAATAGCGTATTTCAAATTGCTGAAGATAAAACTTACTCAAAGACCTTTAAGTAGTCCAGCCCAGCAATCTTAGCATTGTTTTGTTTTTAACATCGCCACATAAGAACTGCATCCTTCAATAACAATGTATTTATATATGTATTAAACTTCTTGGTCTAATAATTGATTTCCTACACAAGACTGAAGTTTAAAGTGCAAAGGTCTTTTGCCCTTATATAAGCACAGAAAAAAAAAAACAGACAAAAAAACCACACATATCTCAGTAGCTAAAGACAAAAACAGACAAAAGTAGTATAGACATCTACATTTCCTGATCATGCGGAGATAAAGATGAGAAACAGAAATATGAGGGGTAAAAAAAAAAAAAAAAAAGTATCTTCTCAGAGAAGAAATCCATCCTCAGGGAATCTGTGAATCACTAGTAACTGGTCAAGGACCACATAGATGATCTGATTTACTGATTGACTGGAGGAAGAGCAAGAGTATTTACGTGATATCAGGGCTCCAGTAACTGATGCATACATCTAGGACGGAGGCACTATGAAACTTAACGCGGCAGAGCGTAGCGCCAGCCAGCCTAGGGGCTGGAAGCCAGCACCATACCATACCTTTCAAAGAACCAATCATCCGAGGACACCGCTGTCCTAAGTATTTTTCCAAGTCATCCCAGGCCTTTTTCAGTGTAGCATAATACTGGATATATCTTCCTAGATCACAGTAAGTACTAATGAAGATCGCCTTCCAGCTCTGATTTCGTTGATTTTTTTCCTCTCTAGACAGATATGAAGAAACTAAGTTAGAGTTCCAGTCTGAGAAGCCTGACTGCTAAAACAAGCTGTTAGTATTTCTTACTTGACACAAACAGTCCACACACAATTATGTCAGGAACACTTCTAAGTCACATGAAGCTACAAACATTCATTTTAATTCAAGCACCTAGTCAACAGCTACTTGCAACAAAATCAGGAAATATTTTAGGTATTCAGTATCAGAGTAAACTTCAGGAGAAAGAATGCTTTGTATCATTAAACCTTAGAATTGGTGAGATCACACTTCACACATACACTGGGAAGGCCTTCGCAAGTGTGTTTCCGATCAACTGCCTTAGGCGTGAATTCCTTTATTTACCCAATTAGAAGAATTAAGGAGCAAATGAGATAACTGAGAATTCTATGCTCTGATAAAAACCTGCCTTCCAGAAGGAATCGCTGGATATATAATTCTTGCATTGCAACAGCAGGCTAAATTAACTCCTCTACCCACTACCCTCCTCTACCCAATGCATTCATGCACACTCCTTGTCATCAGCTGTTCTGCTCTCTCATGCTACTTGCACAATAAAGGGAGCAATAACCCAAATGAAGGAAATACCTGAAACGGCTTGCTTAAGGAGTTAACAGACCTCACATTTTACAACCTAAGGAGAAAGATACTCCCTAGAAGACAAGATGCTAGATAAACAGTAACTAAATTTGTTGCTAATTCACTTCTGTCAATTCTACAAGTCTTCTCAGTTGTACTTAAGAAAAACATGCTTGATTAACAAAGACGTGGGCTGGTACCTTTATAGTTAGTTTCCATTTAACAGACATTCTAAGCCTATGTTCACTGCAAGCAAGAAAAGGGAAACAAGCTTCACAAAACCTCAAAACAGGCTTTCACAAAGAAGAACACTTGACTCAGTCCAGTGTCTCCCTTTCAATCCCAAAATCATAGTACTCATAATATTGTTTTACTCCATTGGAACATGTAGTGCCTGCAAGCTACACTTTCTCCTTCAACTTAGGCATTACTAGAGCATCTCTTCTCTACTTACCCACAAAATTTCACCAAAACAAAACAAAAACTTCATGAAACCTTCCTAGGAAATCAGCATTTCTGATACCTCTAACTCATAAATTGGTGAACTGCTTCAAGCCTGATGGCTTCAAGCAAGAGGCAATGTACAGACATACGGACAACACAACAACATAGGCCTCATTTTCGAGGTGGCAGGGAGGGAAGGGCTTCAAACAACCATACTTACTCTGAAATAAGCCAGTACTTCTTGCAGTGTCTTTTCCATAATGGATCATGGCTCGATAGCTGATTTAATCTTCGACTTAAATAGCAGCAGCTATAAATATAAAAATCATTAAGCTTGATTGCAGAAGAATGGCAAAACAAATAGGGATAAATATAGACTGATACATTATACATTAGAGTCATGCTTACAATGGTTAAAAGTCTTCATTATGTCTGCATAAGCTGGGATATAGTGTCAGAATGCTCTAACGTAAGCACAGACTTTCAGAATCATCAGCAATTAAGTAATTTTGTAAAGCAGGTTATAGTGTAGATCTGCTCCACTGAAAACATGACCTAAAAAATTCCAGAGCAACACTCCATCAGTTCTAAGCATGCTATAGGCTAATTACTCAGATTTTAATCACTTCCTCATCTGGATCTCCAAACTCTATTAGGTCTTTCACTTGTTATATCTCTGAAAGCTCAGTCGGCAAACTACAGAAATTATACTGTCTCATTATTAGAAAGTTATTTTCCACTTTATTTAAATAGCAGATTTCAGGACAGGGAATGAAAAACCCGAAAGAGAAACACAAAAGGTGGTAGAAATGGGAATAAGAAATGCAAGCCCACATCAGAAGCACCTGTCGCACAAAACACATAAAAGCTCTTGCCAATGCAGGCAACTCTACTGCTTCACAAAGTTAAAGAATCAAATGCAGCATATGCAGCATTGTCACAAAAGCAGTATTAAAAAATGCTGTAGGATATAGCATGTGGATCCGCTTTCAGAAAACATATAAATCAATCCTCTGCAAGAAAATAACAGCTAAGCTATATTCCTGAGGCCTGTCAACTTGCTCTTCAAAAGCATTGATAATGTAACAAGCTACAGGAGGGTATTCTGATATCTACTTTTTAGTTAAAGAGCTTTTCTTGACTGCACACCTGATGCACTATAGCAAAACTGTCTGTGCATTTCAGTAAATTCATACGAACAGGCAAAGCATCAGCAAGGTGCAGGACAGTAGTACAGGGAACTAAAACAGCAGCTTTGTTATTCAAAGGCTCAGACTGACAGAATTTAGGAGAAAAGATAATAGTCTTAGTCTGCTGAGCCCAAGCAACAGAAAATAAGAGTTGTTCCCTGTGTTTGAGTCCAACATTCTGCTATGCTTTAAAGAAACTTCCATAAAGATGCTGACAATTCAGATGTGGCAACATTACTTCCATGGTAGCTTGTTTTAAGATTTAATTACAGCTATTAAAACATACTAACACCAAATTCCATAAATGAGGTTACCAAGTTTCAGCTTTTAGCTTCCACCTCTTATTTTTTTTCAGTGTAGTTCAGAAGTTGGCAAGAAAACCAGTAACTTAAATGGACAGAGGCACATATTGTAAAATACAGATGCATCCCAATCTTGTCTTTGTCTGCCTTAGCTTATCAAAGTCCAAGGCTGGGGAAAAACATTTCATACTAAGACTACAAATTTTTTGTATGTACCTGCTCAGTTCAATCTCCTCATCCCTATTCTACTATAAAGTGCTAAAACTAGAATTGTATTAGTATTCCAAAATCAATCTCATAGTATGCCTCACTCCAGTATGCTTTGCACTTGGCACCTCAATGACACAAATGTATTCACTTCGCTTCTAGTATCAGAGCAAATTCTACTAGTAATTCATATTAAATTATGATAACTCCCAAATGTTTTATTTGCCACCTTCCATTGGCATGATCTCGCATGTTTTTGCTCCTAAGAACTAAACTCACTTGCTTGACTGGATCAGTTTGACCAAAATACAGAACTTCTGTATGACTGCTATGTTGCTTTGCAGCACTTGGAAGTTTTAGTGGCTTTGCTTTCAAAAAAAAAAAGCTATTCAACATTTTCATTAACAGTTTGCTGGTAGAATTTAATACTAATCCCTACAGGGCTCTATTGGAAACAGCATTATTTGATGACTGCTCATTAACAGCAAAATCTTGTCCATGCAAACACATTATTCACAATGCGGTGAAAATTTCCATAGATAAATATAATCCTTGCAGGAATCTATTAGGCTGATGTTTATCAACCAAGCACATAATTTCTTGGAGGAAAAAAAAAAGATTTTGCTCTTGGAGAGACAAAAACACCACCTTGTCAGAGGAGCATATGGCTTCAAAAAACATGATCCAAAGTCGATTTAAAGTCCTTTACGTTAGTGACAAATATTTGCCCTCATGTCAGTTTCTCCCTTTCTTAAGGGCCAACTGACTTGTAGAATCCTATGTAAACAAACTATAACATTTGTGATAAGAGCATATAGAAGTGACTGCAACATAAGCAAACTAGAGACTTCCTTTGAGGAAGCCCTGAGGACTACAAATAGCCATGTATACAGGATTACCTATTATCACCCCTACTTAAAATACTTCAAAAGGGACCCTATTTAAAAATAGTCCTACTTAAAAGGGACCTAAAAAGTTGCATAGCTGTCTTGGCACAACAAAATCCATATCCCTTCAACAAATACATGATAAAAACAGGTAAGGAGCATAGCTGCCTTTACTAGATCTCAGCTATTAGTACAACTACACTGAATTTACACAATTGTTATTTTTTTTTCTCCTGCTTTTCTTTACATTTATTCTTTTCTTTTTTGTAACCCTAGCAAATTTCCCTCTGATGCCTTTGGCTTTCCTGAATTTTCACCAAGAAGAAAACAAACAAAAAACCAAAAACCTTCTTTATTTTGGTTTCCCCATATTCCTCCCTCTTTGACTAAGCACTGTGATTTCAGTCCCTTTTGCCAGTGCATTTACCCATGAGCCATGACCCGATGCGAGCTGAACAGGCACATCCTCACCGGGTGTCATGACGCGTGAGCCACCTCGCGAACTGCCCGGCTTGCAACTTTCGTTCACTTTTATTATTATTATTTATTTATTTATTTGATGGGAGAAAGAGCAAGCCCTCCCATTTAGTCCTGTCCGGTTTTCCTCAGGTGCAAGCAAGGGTTCTTCCCCAAAGCACAGGTGAACACGCCGGGCACGGGACTGCCCTTTGTTTGCCAAGAGATAACACGGCAAAATTTTGCTAATTCGGTTATAAAATCGCCTCCAAGTTGAAACATAGGTATGGACAAAAAACACTACATAATGCGGAGGGGGAAGGGAGGGCGACAGGGATCAGGTCCTTCTTCACTTTTTCTTTACAGTTTTAAAGAGAGAAAGAGGAAAAAAAAAAAAGCAGGTTTCCCAAGAG